TTGCTGGAAATAGAAGGTGGCAAGAATCAATAATGAACAGAAATTCTTAAAAGGTAGCCTCTGCTTCCCTGTGCTTCAGTTTCCCTTTTACTTCCCCCTATCCCTCTCAGATTGAAATTATTTTTCTGATGGTAATTTGCAACCTGATTATTTAGTCTGTCTTTCATGTAGGACAGGACCACCCTGGAGAATCCAGCAATGCTTTTTAAAGCTGCTGAGAGCAATGAAATAGTTGACAAGAGTAGAGCTGCAGAATGGGAAAATAAAGAGTAATACAAAGACACATGACGCTGGTGTACCATGTTAAAGCGTCCCCCTAATAAGTTTAATGGGAAAGGATGGATTATGGCTGCCTGTAGGAGACTAGAATGAGAGATAGCTTTCTTTCAAAACTTCCTGGGCTCTTTCCTAGGTGGTTTCAGGGCTGGACCTTTGTGCAGTAACACTGTTATGGTCAGTCTCAGGTATATATTTAGTCTGTAGGATGTGTAGAAATTTATGATGCCCAAGAAATTTATGCTATTTGAAGCCCACCTGAAATCCTTGTGAATGCTTGGTATAAATGGATTTAGGAGGTTTGGGAGCTTGATCTGGCAAGGATTTTTCAAGATTCTTGTACTAATTAATTCTTTTTATTGCTGTCCCTTTTAAATCCTTCAGATACAGATTTGTTGCAACACAAACATCTCTGAGTTGGGAATTAGTTGAGGGAATCATCTGTTTACTCCAATTCCTAACATCTTGTGGTCACTATTTTTTTTGTGCCTTAAGTCTAAAATGCATATGTTTGCAACTGTTTTGATTTTACAGTATGGTCTTGAAAGAGTAGTTGTCTTCACAGATTCAAAGCTTTTGCTTTATTTCATTTCTTGTAAGCCTGCTCTTCTCAAGACACACGGTATGTGTACTTCGAGTGCTTTAAAGCAAGGTTTTCATGTTCTTGCTCTTCAGAGCTTCTAATACAGACTTGTCACAGCTGGTTTCTAAAATAACTTGTACTTTTGTATACAGTGGTAGGATGTACTAATTCATTTTATTGAGTAGTTTGTTCACAACCAGGAGTTTGTCTTTTGTGGAAGGCCTTGATGGAAAGTCTTCAGCTGGCACTCAGAAAGGTGGTTGCCCTTTGAATCATGTTACAGAGGAGAGGAGAAAAAATGTACGTGCTTACTAACCTTAAGTTTGTAAGCTTTGCTTTTCTGTGCCAACAGTACTTGGCCAGATCTTTGTTTCATCACCCTTCTTTCAAATGAATTATTCTCTTATTTCATTTCTGTGTTCCTCAGACCTGCCTGGTTCATAATTTATGAAGTAAATATTCTCATAATATCCTAATATTAATTATCATAATAACTGTCTATTTTTATCAGAGAACTATAAAAGAGAGACCATCTCCATATGCTTATGTATAAATCCACCGTATGTGTATGTAATACGATTTTTAACATCTCAGCAATGGAGTACCCCTGTGGAACATTTTGACTTAGTATTTTCAAGTTGTGAGACTGATATATATCAAAAGCTTTGGTAACAGCCAAGAGGATGGTTGGGAACAGAGCTCATTGCAGGTCCCTGTTGGAGCTGTTAGGCTTGCTTTATTCATTAACTAGGCTGGAGCTAACACTGGAGTAGGGCACACCAGATGGGTGGCACTGGAGATGACTTCATAAAACAAACAGAGCTTTGGTCACTTTTCTTGCTGTGGCCTCTGCTTTCTATCGGTCACGTGTTGTGAGTTATCACTGGTGGCCTCTATGAGGTGGTGACCCTTTGCAGTCCATATTCTTTGAGAATCCTTAAAAGATTTTGTTGTTTGAGCTAATGGTGGAGATGTCAGTTGGCACCACAGTGCTGCCTTGCAAATTCCTTAACTATTTAATTCCTACCTAACAGAACATTTGAAAACAAGTTCTGTTGAAATAGGCTTTTGTCAGGCAACAGCAACAGAAGTCTGCCATAGAATATATTGTTTGAATATTTGCCTTTCTATTTTATTTATATCAGCTTAATAATATATACATGTGAAACTGATTTACTATTCTAAATGATGAATAAAAGCTGTTTTGAAGACTTGTTCTTATTATAAAACCAGTGATCGAAATTTTATGAGCTATATTACTAATCTGTAGAAATTGTTATATAAACCAGTTAGTTGTGAATAAACACACTTAGGCATAAGAAAAATACATTGTAAGTAAACATACTCCTATACATAAGAGAAATCCTTAGTAAAACTTGTAACTCAGCTTTTTATTTAATACAGCAACTTTAACATTGTTTATTCTGAATTTATTGAATTCAATCCAAGATCAGTTTGACATGTGTCTCAAATATCTTTTGGCTCCTAGTAAATACAAGATTAAAGAACATAAAAGTAGATAAATGTATCTCTAGGGTTTATAAACATATAACAGATGAGGAAAAAAAATGCTGTCAAACTTAGCACAGACTTATCCTTTGTTTCAAATCAACTTCCAGCTAGGGATAATTAGCCTTTCTTCTGGAAAGAACAAAACCAGAGTTAGAATATAATCATTTAAATCAAAGTTTCTTCCTTTCAGACTTAAATCAGAATTGATGGGGTGGTTTGTTTTGGTATAAGTCAGTCTGCTTTAACTAAAGGTATGAGCTTATTTTTCTGAACCCTTAAAGTCAGATTGGTAAATTCCTTGTTGCTCAAGAGAGATGGATTGAGAAGTCTCTTTGTAGATGTGGTCCCGCTGTAGCTCCAGGCCTTGATGAGGGAGTGCGCACATCAGATACAATTCTTAACTAGAGCAGAATGGCTGGAAGCCAGTTAGTCTGATAAAGATGGGTATTGGTTTTTCCTCCTTCCCTACCGCCCTCCCTCTGCAGATGTGGTTGGCTTCTGATTGCGGTTGGGTTGTTCTTTCTTTTGCTGCTTGCAACTGAAAAGGAGGGGCCTCTGGAAATGTATTTTAGTCTTAGGGTAGTGATCAAATAATACATTAGTAGAGTCCTGACTGCCTGTGTAGATTCAGGTGATGTTTCTCTTCAGTGTGTGTGTATATGTATTGATTGTGCACATGTATCAATAATGATGTGTTCTGAAGTCCACATAATAATAATGTTATGAGGTAGTCTTTAGAGGGAAAAAAAGAAGAAAATGAGAAGTTTAATGATTGTCAGAGATAAAACTGGTATTTGCTCCAGTCACACTAAAAGCTTGGTAGAGACTAAAAGCTTGTGGCATCAGCTTTTGGTTGAATTCTCTGGTCTTTTTTTATATGAGGCTAGAATTGACCTGCAGGGTCCCTCTCGGCTTCTAGTGTTAATCCCTTTGTGGATGTAATCATAGAATGGTTTGGATTGGAAGGGACCTTAAAGATCATGAATTAATACCTGTTAGAGCCTAACAGGGGAACTTACAATAGGAAAACAAATTACATGTCAACAATTATGAAAGTGACTTTAAGTTTTGACCCTACATTTGAAGGCATTGCATAAATGTAATATTATGCTGTCTGTGACTAAAGTGGAGGAATGTAAAACACTGAGGTATGATACTGGAATTAGAGATAGCCATAGAGCATACTGGCAATATGTCATTTTATTCTTCTAAAATACATTAACCAGGTTATGGTTAAAGGAATTTAAAATGTGTCATTCTGAGCTATTTGTAACTGTTTAAGTTCTGTGGGAGTCACTTACTGAAAACATGTGGTTATATGCTGTAAAAGATGGGGGTTTTATTTTTTATGCATCGATCTTTTGTGCTATGTTTCAAAGCAAATAGGAACAGATGGAGGCTTGCTTTTGATACAACACAGCATTTAAAACTCTAGTATTGTGAAGAGGAAATGTATTATTGAAAGATTTTAGCATGGAGGTTTTTTTGTTTTCAGTATGATGCTGTATTAGGATAATTGTGCCATTCGAAGTCAAAGTATTAGTATAGTGAATAATCCTCTATGTCCAACATATCTAAATACATAGTGCTAGCTTGCATACTGTGCTCCTTACTTCAGGAGAAACCAAGAATTGATTGTGGGCTGTCTGCCAGCGGGACAACATTTTGTCTCTCCATATGGGAAGAGCATCTTTTGCTGGCCCAAATGGGATTATGCCATTGCCAGGAGGCAGCGACAGCTCCTTAACTATCGCTTTTGTCTGTAACAATTTATCCTGTGTGAAGAACGTGTCCTTTCTTAAAATCTTTCAGTGATGAACTTCTGACTTTTATAATGTCTATACTCAATGTTTACTGCCAAGACAAGCAAATGTTGTCTTTTTGTGTGTCTAAGGTTGCCAGATCTTTGTATCCATGATATATACGTATATTTATATGAACACACAAGCATCTAAACTGGCAAGCTGAGAATGGAAAGTAAATTCTTCTGACTGTTGTTGACCTTGCATGGCTGATGTGCTTGTGCTAGCATCCTTGACAAGACATACTTAGAAGTTCAACCAACTGAGCATATCTAACAGACCACCAAAAATACATATACTAGTACATATTTTCATACAAGATGATGCTAATTCCATGTCAAGTGTTTTTCTTCTTGGAGATGCTGCACTAAATGCTTAGAATCAGTAGAAATAATTTTAAATGCAAAAATTAAATGAAATTTAGTGTAAATAAGGGTACTTGATATGAAACAATGAAGTTTTAAGATAAGTCTGTTAATATTTTTATAGCACAGGATAACATAAAAACATAAACAGACTTCAGAGTTCAAGCCAAATTTGCCAATCTGTGTTGATATTAAATGCAAGACATTTTGTCAAGGCAAGAACATGCAGTGAACCTTGGGTAGCTTTAAAAAAAAAAAAGCAAAACTGTATCTTTCAGAGTACTTTGGATGGCCAAATGTTAAGAAAAGGCACTTGGGTTAATCAATACGTATTTTACCTTTTCCCTGAAACTGTTGTTTAACTGCTAGTTTGAGATAACCGTAAGGCGGAAGAGCTCACTTGGCTGTCTCATGAACTGTTCTTAATGAGCATTATGTTGTTTTCCCCTCTCGTTTTTCTAGGCTGTTCAATTAACCCCTCGACGATGGCTGAACCTGCAGGAGTACCAAAGCAAAAAAATAATGGCAGACCATGGGGTTACAGTTCAGAGATTCTTTGTAGCTGATTCTGCAAATGATGCCCTGGAGGCTGCTCAGAGACTAAGTAAGTTGACTGATAATGGGAGGAATCTGCTTCACCAGATAGCAATCTGGAAAAACAAATTGCTTTCTATTAAGTTCTACACTATCTACAAATTGATGCATATTGAAAAGCTTCGATATATGTTGTCCAGACAGCAAATATATGCTTAATTTTGTATGTGAACAGCAGTTTACAACAGCATTTAAACTTTATTTCTAAAATGTTTTGAAAGCAGCATGTGACATGAATTTTTTACTTACCATTATTTGTAATTCAGAATAACATCATGAGTGATTGCTGAGGAAAATTATTTCTTGTTGTGTATTTGATATAGTTTAAGGAACTGAGGTAAATGAACTTGATTTTCAAACAAAAATTTGCTCTTAAAAAGCAAAGGGAGAAAAAGGTTGTGGACTCTCAATTTTCAGATATTCTGAACCCAGTGGGACTCAGTCTCCTGTAGCTCACCCTGTTTGGACCTGGTGGGTTGGACTAGATGATCTCCAAAGGTCCTTGTAACCTCAACTGTTGTATGCTGCTTTGAAGAAATGAAAGAAGTACAAGAGAATTATATATGTGTATATTTATTTGTTCACATATATAGATAGGAAAAAAAAAAAGGTGAGTCCATCACAAAAGGACTTGACAGTGGCCTGGAGAGAAGACCATGCTTCTGGAACTTCATTTTGGATTCTCTGAAAACATCCTTGGTTTAGTGTGGTGAACATAAGATGAAAATGTGGGTCAGAAATTAATTTATCTAATACCTTTTCTCGCAGTAGGAAATGCACAGAAGTGTGTTTGTCATCCAGTTCTAACTCTGAAAGAAGTTTTCTAATATAGTAGAAACAGTAGTTTGCATGGTTTCCTCTTTTCATTTAGCTTTTGTTAATATATTGCACATCAAAATGCCAGAGGCCAGACATTATTGTAGTCTAATTGTGTAGGAACAGGAAGCTTTTTTGTTTTATGTTTTATGCTTTACATAATGCACAAGCCACTTAGTTAAATGCATTTCAGTTTTGCACACTGGAAGGTAAATTAACACAACTTACATCAGAGTCTCATCAGATCTCAAGTAGCTGAATACCATTAGCATAATGGCTTGCTAAATATCTATAACTTAAGGTGATACATTTTTCAGCAGTTAAAGCCTTCTTATGACAACAAATATATTTGAAACAAAAACAATCAGTGTAACTGTTATGGTCATTTGGCAGTGCCAAATGAAAGATGCTGACACAAAGCAAAGCTCATAAAATGGGAGGGTTTCCTCATGTCAGGATGTCTGAGAAAACCAAAAAATGCCATCTGAAGCTGGGGCAGGTTTTTGCAGATCTTACTTTAACTCTCCTCTTCATGACTGAACCCATAAATGGGTTGGTCTGTCCCATAACTATTACTGGTATCAAGCTCTCTACCTGTTTGGAGAAATAAATTACTCTTTTAAAGGCAGTTAACCTCTTGTGTTTTGTGATGCAAAATACAAATAACCTCTGTAACTTGCTTGCTTTGCAAATTAAAGACACACTGGTCTATTAAAAAAAAAGTGTTAAAATTTAAATAAAAGTAAAATCTAAAACAAAAAATATTTGCTAATGAAACTCTATAAGGCAAAATGTGTTTATTTTAACTGAGTTGGCTTGTTAACACTTCAGAAATTGTAAGTCAGTGATTCCTTTCTTCATTTTATGTAACTGCATTCAACCATGCTGCATGACTGGGTGTTAAAGAATGGTGGTTTATAGCATGGAAGCTATTTCTTGTTGAAATAGTTGACGCTCCTTTTATCCACTAAATAATTAACAACATCCTTGTAATCATTCTGAGACTGTGCTGCTGTTGTACTTTTAACATGCACTTTGGAAACTAAGCATCAGGAACACCAGATTTGATACTGTGGTCATTGTTGTTCTGAGATTTCATCACATTTATCTTCTTTATGATCCTTCACACTAGTCATATCTCTGTCACTCAGGTTTATCTGCACAATTTGGTATGGGCTGCTGTCTTCTGAATATGCAGCCACACAGAGTAAAAAGTTATGAGCAAAACAAAAAACTTCAGCCTACAGGAGGCACAAAATACTTTTCAAATAAAAAAACCTAATGGAGGTGGCTGTGGGATTTCTTGACAGACAGGCATTCTGCAGTGAAAGATGGTGAAAGGAGAGGCCAATCACCCCTGCCAAGTACTGCTCAAAAATCTGGTGGTTTAGATGCTGTATGCCACATTGCAGCTGTCCTTAACTTTTCTTTCTGCAAAGAAGAAAGGATGCTTGCCAACATATTTTAAAGATAAAAATAGACTAAAGTTATCAAAACTTGAAAGTCAGAGGTTCAGTATTTTTCTTGTGAGAGGAGGTTCTTTCTATAGACCTGTCATCATGAATGCAGCAGAAACAATAATTTTCCTTGAGAATCTTAGAGCATTACATCACTCACATGGGCCTGTGTGTGTGATAAAGGGGTGCAGATAAAGGAATAGAAATTCCTGACATGGGAGTCTGGAATTCACAAATTAATTTCACAAAATACTACATGCTTGACAGAGGTGAGTGCTGCTGCAGTGCCTGCAGTCACCTATTTTGCTATTGTTGGATTTCCTTTTGATGCAATGGAAAGAGATGGGATTAGATAATCCTTGCTGCTGTCTTCACTTGTCAGTAAGGTGTTAATGCATGTGTTCTCGAAAGGGTTTGCCTTCATCCAGTATCAGCGCTTTAGTTATAATTTGCTCATTTCCTCTGTTGTACTCTCTATTTTTATTAATATGTACACTGAATACACAGAATGTTAATTTTCTCAGAGTTTCAAAACTTACCAACAGCACAAAGGCAGTCTACAAGGAATTTTTAATGGAATTAAATCATTTCCTCTGTTGTACTCTCTATTTTTATTAATATGTACACTGAATACACAGAATGTTAATTTTCTCAAAGAGTTTCAAAACTTACCAACAGCATAAAGGCAGTCTACAAGGAATTTTTAACGGAATTAAAGGATTGATTTCCCCCACCCCCACCCCTTCAAAGATAAGAATGGCAGATGTGAAGAAAATTAAAATGACATCACTAATATTGACTTCAAAAGAAGTTGTACACAATAAGGAATACAGAATTAGGCCCCAAGGAATTCATTGCCCTCTATGTGCTAAGCAGTTTTCAGGTGTAACTCTTGCAGAGCAGGGGATATTTACAGAATACCAAGAAATGCAGTCACAGAGGGTTTTGTTTCATGTTAAAATTCCTAGTGTTTTCAAGAGAGAAAAGAAAGAGACATTGTACTGTTTTGCTACAACACTGCGGCCTTGCTTGATCTGCCATCTGAAGAAACACAACCTGTAAACAAGTTGTTACAGTTCTAGTGCAGGTATTTAACAGAACAAAGGGCGATAGTTGGGAGCTGAGTTTTTCTTTCTGAGATGTAAGATCATCTGGCTGTTGCAGTAACTCACAAGTCTTCTGATCTGGTTCTCACTTAATGTAGTGGTACATTAAAGGCTTATTTAGCCAGAGAAGACGTTTCATAGAATTGTAGAATACCAGATTGGGAGGGACCTTAATGATCACCTGGTCCAACCTTTCTGGGCAAAGCATGGCTTAGACTAGATGTCCCAGCACACCCTGCCCAGCCAAATCTTGAAAGTGTCCAATGTTGGAGAATCCATCACTTCCGTGGGGAGATTATTCCAATGGCTGATCATTCTCATTGTGAGAAAAAATTTCTTCTGTGTCAAGTTGGAATCTCCCCAAGATTAACTTGTGCCCGTCACCCCTTGTCTTTTCCATATGACTTCTTGTAAAAAGGGAGCCTTTCATCCTGTTTCTTTTCTTCATACTGTACTACCTGACACAAGGAAAAATTCCTTATATATGCATACATATACCCACACTCTTAGGGTCTGTATTGGGCAGATGCACTGTGCAGCATTTCAGGGTCCATCATTTTCTCTAGCCTTCTTCACCAAAGGCCCTTAAGTGTGCTTCAGCCCATGCACTGTTCTTTAAGTTCTGCCTGGTGGAGAAATTATTAAGGGAACCATCATTGTAAACTAGTAGGTGGATAAAACTGAAAGGGATTATAATTATGTTGGAGGGTGTTACTATGTGCTGTCAGTTGGCTCTTTGAATCAGTAGAGAGCTTACAGAGGTGGTTGAAAATGCTGACAATCCTAAATCAATGCTGGAAACTTGGCATGCGTTTCTTTTTGTGATTTTTAACAAAAGCAATAGAGTGCTGCCTGTTGCCACTTGGAGTGTTTCATTACGTTTAGGAATCAGTCAGGTGCAGTGTTCGCACTCTATCGCGGAGAAATGCAGTTGAATTGAGTGCAAGGCTTTTAGTCACTCTTGGTTAAAAAAAATAGGTATGACAAAATATAGTTTCTGCATGTCCTATTTCCATTGCCTTATGCATGAAGGAACTTATAAAATTTGGCTTTGGACCGAAGGCATGCTTTTTATGTCAGGCTGGAGAGGTAAACATATATTTTAAAGAGAACAGAAGAGGTTTATTAAAGCCTCTTTCCATGAGGTCATTTACCTGTCACCTATTCACCGCTTTCCTGAATATTGAAAGAGTTCTCAGCCACGTGATCACCAGTCTCCTTCAGCCTGCTGGGTTTTTTACCTTAGCTGTGTTTAATTTAGATGGAAGGCCGCATTTTTAGATGCAGTTTTAGATCCCTTATCTGAAAGTTCATCTCTCCAATGCAAGTTGAGAAAACCACTTGAAAGCAATTTGTGTTTAGAAAGGATCAGAAATTGATCTTTAGCTTGGTAATGTCCTTTTTGTATAGATTATGAAGAAATTGTTGGTGGGAATGTTGTCTGCATTTAATGTAAACTTTTATGTTAGGAAAAATGAAAAAGATCCTTGAACCTGACATTTTTGGGGATATTAGAGATGTGATTTTAGGTTCTTTTTTGTTACACCAGGAAGAGCTTTTCTATTAGTATCCTGTACAGAGACCAGCTCTCTTGTAAGGTTGTATTTAAGTAACTCAATTTACTCCCCAAT